ACTCCAGAGTGTTGTTCAGCATGGGGGTGAGTAGAAAATGAAGGCTAATCATGTTTTGGGTGTACTATTCCTTTAAACTACATCTAATGAGGGTCAGAACCAGAGCTGGACCCCACAGTTTGGGTTGTTCATGGACCTGCTTCATTCTGCTTTTTTTTTTTGACCCAATTATTGTATGTGTTTTTACAAATGTTTTGCTTATATTTTTCTTCTATTTTATGATCTAACTCATGTAAAGCACTTTGAAGTATCTACGTACTGAATTGTGCTATACAAATAAAATTGCCTTGCCTTGCTTCCTGGTTCCTATATTCAGGAGATAATGTTGTGTTTTTAGGGAATCTTCAGAGAGTTTGACCTGGATAAGTCCGGCTGCATGAATTCCTACGAGATGCGTCTGGCGTTTGAAAATGGCGGTGAGTTTTTTGTTTTTTTTTTTCACTGACATGTTTTGAGTTGGTTCGGTTTCATCTACCTGACCTGGGATCTGCTCCGTCTGCAGGGTTCAAACTGAACAACAAGCTGTATCAGATGCTGATCGCTAGATACGCCGACAACGAGATCATCGACTTTGACAACTTCACCTGCTGCGTGGTCAAACTGGAGACCATGTTCAGTAAGTCCAGAACCTCCGAACTGATCAATAAATTGCTGCTGTTCTATTGTTGTGCTCCCAAACTGACCTGGAGTCTGTTTTTCAGAGACCTTCCAAGGCCTGGACAGAGATGGGACCGGAACTGTGGAGTTAAATTTCAGTGAGGTACCAAACTCCGTATATTGTTCCCAGTGTTGTAACTCTTGAGACCGGTGACTAGACCACCTTTTGACAGTCTGGTCTTGGACTCGACCGCATATATACTCTGTATGGTCTCGGTCATTAAAGACATGGGACTGTGGTTTCCAACCCTGGTCCTCAGGGACCCTGTCCTGCATGTTTTAAGTGTTTAATTGTTGCATCACACTAGAAAAGAATGGATGATTAACAGGCTTCTGCAGCACATGATTGCAGAGGAGGAGCTTTAATTTGAATCAGGTGTGCTGGAACAGAGGCATATCTAAAAGACGCAGGGCAGGGGTCCCTGAAGATCAGGGTATGGAACCACTGACATAGGATTTTATTTCAAGACCAGTCAAGAAGAAAGTGTATATAATAACATTAAATGTATATATTTTATTCATGATGTGAAATTAAATGGTTCAAGTCCACGCATTTATGCTAATTATAGCTTATTATATTACTCTGGTTACTTAGCACTGCTTAGCATCTACTTTTAAGTTTATTAAAATCGTTACAAAAAAAATGCTTCAAAATACCCAGCATGCTACAGATAGAGACAGGAAGATAGATATTCTATGAATCTTGTGGGTCAGACAACCAGTCCAGCTCTTTGATAAAGAACTACAGCGACTCCCCAACTGACGAAAACAAAAAGCCACAGGTTTGGTTCACTTTCACTTCC